GGCCGGGGCCGGGCTGGGGTCAGGACAGGCCTTCCCGGCCGGCGGGACCTTCCTAACAGCAGGGTGGGAACGGGTTTCCAGAAAGCTCCGAGCCCCGTCTGCCTCTGAACCGGGCACACAGCCCAGGGACTGTCCCCGTCGGTCCCCGGGCCAAGCTCTCCCTGGACCTCAGTGGTGGTCACTGTCTCCTGTTGACCTGGGTTTTCCTGCACAAGGAGGGGCACCGACTGCAGCCAGAAAGGAAACGCTACGCGGGAAAAAACGCTGCCCCTCCCCAGAGGATTTCCAGGGGCCGTTAATCCCGCGGCCTGAGTCTTCCCTTGGCCTCGGCCCCAGAGGAGAGGCCACGCCCACGGGTGCCTTCCCGGGAGGAGGTGCCGGCACAACCCAGGACCCCGGTCCACGTGGGGTGATGGTCACCAGCCCCGCCCAGGAACCACAGCCTTCCTGTCACGCCGTGGGTCTCAGAGAGGAGGGCAGGCCCGGCCGCGGCGGGGAAACTGAGGCTGGAGAGGGCCACGGCCGTGTCCAGGGCCCGCAGCCACCCAGCGGCAGGTGAAGAGAGAAGCAGCTCCGTCACTCACTGGGCACCTTCTGCACACCCGCCCCCCGACCCGCCCCCCCAGACACGGCCAGAGGGGAAGGCACCATTCTGCCGTGAGGGGGGTTGCGATCTAACAAGACAGACAGACGTGAAAGGTCCCAGTGAGGTAAGGGGTGAGCACCGTGAAAGGACAAGGTGGGAGGTGAGGCTCCCAGACCTCCCTCGTGAAGGAGCAGTCATGGAGGGCCTCCTGGAGGCGGTGTCTTCTGAGCTGACCCCGATGAGAAGAGCCGAACCCAGGGGACACGCCATGGGCAGCTCGGAGCTCACCCCTGTCCGCTCCCCAGCACCCTGCTCAGGGCAGCGCCCCTGCCCCACGGGGTGCACATCTCTCCTTTTCTCCGTCCGTGGCCTTCCCAGATGTCTGTCTGTTTCCTTCCTCTCTTCAGAGTCAGCCTCAGATTGTCTTCACTGTTTCTTCGGTTTCCACTTGATTAACTTGTGCTTCTGCCTCTATTATTTTCCCCTTGTTTTTATTTTTCTGGCTTTATTTCTCCGTTTCTGACTTCCCTCAAAAATTCCTATCCGTCCAGAACCTCACAGTGTGGTCTTTATTCGGAAGAGGATCTTTGCAGATCTAATCAGGTGGCGACGAGGTCATCCAGGATTGGGGTGGGGGTGACCCCACGACGGTGTCCTGATAGGAAGAGGGAGTGTGCGCACAGACACGCCCGTGATGCTGGAGGCGGAGATGGCTGATCCAGCGCCCGCCCAGGTGGCTTCCCCCTCAGAGCCCAGAGGAACCACCTGACCAAGCCCTGGCCGTGGGCTTCTGGCCCCAGAACGGGGGGGAGGGGGGGGCTGCTGCCTTGGGGGGGGGGGGGCTGCTGCCTTTCCACTGTGATCATTCCCATGGCACCTGGGAAACCTGGACACACCGCTCACTAATTCTAACCTTGCTTTCTCTCGAAGCTATGAATTTCCCTCTAACTACCCACTGTGCTGCACCCCACAGGGTTAGACATGAGGTGCTTTTGCTGTCACTCAGTTCTGAAAATTTCATCATCTTTCACTATGACAGTCTTCTTTAACCAATAAATAATGCAAAAGCTCACTACTGGTTTCCAAAAGTACAGGGAGACTCTCTCTTTCTGGCTTTTTATTAATAACTTGTAGCTTGCTTGGGTTGTTGTCAAATAATATGGTTTTTAAAATATTTTTATTGATTTTAGAGAGAGGAAGGGAGAGGGAGAGAGAAACATCAATGATGAGAGGATCACTGATCAGCTGCCTCCTGCACGCCCCCTACTGGGGATGGAGCCCGCAACCCAGGCATGTGCCCCGACCTCCTGGTTCATAGGTCGATGCTCAACCACTGAGCCACACCAGCCAGGGGAAGACTATGGGTTTTGAGTGAGAAATAGATTTGAACTCATCCTAGGGTGCCTTGAAATAACGCCCCACAGTGCACACACTGGATTCTAAAATCCTAAAATCCTGACCTGCGCCCCTTCTCAATATCCCATATGCTCCCTGGTCGTGCTCTGAAGGGACCAAGGAAAAGGTAGAACGGGGCTCAGGAGATGCCCCGGGTCCTCCCCCAGCGGCAGTCACAGCCACGGGACCCTCATGCCAACCAGGGGCTGCCGGTAACCACACAGGGCGGGCAAAAGCAGGCTGACAGTTGTGAGTACGTGAAAGTTCATTCTTATTTATTAACTAGAGGCCCGATGCACGGAATTCGTGCAAGGGGCTCAGCCCCCCGCAGAGGCAGCTTCGTCCCGAAGGCTGTCAGGTCTAATTAGCATATTACGCTTTTATTATTATAGACTAGAGCAGTGGTTCTCAACCTTCTGGCCCTTTAAATACAGTTCCTCATGTTGTGGCCCAACCATAACATTATTTTCGTTGCTACTTCATAACTGTAATGTTGCTACTGTTATGAATCGTCATGTAAATATCTGATATGCAGGATGGTCTTAGGCGACCCCTGTGAAAGGGTCGTTTGACCGCCAAAGGGGTCGCGACCCACAGGTTGAGAACCGCTGGACCAGAGGCTTGGCGCACGAAATTTGTGCGCGGGTACGATCCCTAGGCCTGGCCTGTGATCAGGGCTGTCTTCCCCAGCTGCTGGCTGCCGGCAGCTGGCCCCGCCCGCCCCCTCGGCCACCACCCACCCCCAGTTCCCCGTCTGCCACCGGGCAATGGGAGCCTGCTGGCCAGGGGAGGGGACCAAGAGGTGGTCAGTGTGCCTCATAGTGACTGGTTGAGCGGTCGTTCCGCCGTTCGGTCGATTTGCATATTGCTTTTATGTGTATAGATTAGTGTTGTTTTCCATGCGAACAACTGTAAACCTACTTTTGCCCACCCCTGTGTGTACGATGTTGGTTTGTGGGTTTTCACGATGAGCCAGACGGACACAGGAAGTTACAACAGGGAAGGGGCACCGGACTTTCTGCTCAACTTTTCTGTAGACCTGACACTTCTCTTCAAATAGCCTGTCGCTTTCAAAGGCACACCCAGGCGGCCAGCGTGGCTCAGGGGCTGAGCATCGACCTATGAACCAGCTCAGGGTTCGATTCCCGGTCAGGGCACAGGCCCCGGGTGTGGGCTCGATCCCCAGTGTGGGGTGTGCAGGAGGCGGCCGATCAATGATCCTCTCTCATTGATGTTTCTCTCTCTCCCTCTCTCTTCCTCTCTGAAATCAATATTTTTTAAAAAATAAAAAATTAAAATAAATAAAAGGCACATCCAGTAAGTGGCCGGCTTTCTCACGGGTGGGATAGAGAGAAGGGAGAGGAAGGACCGACCCAGGAGGAACAAGCCAGGCGTGCAAGTCGCTCCCGCGAGGCTTGATGATTCATTTCCGTGGCTTCGTCCTTTCCTGTACTTTCTTAATTCCCTAGAATTTGGGGAACCAACCTCTCTTCCTATCATTCGGTCGTTTCTGGGAGGTTTAGGCTCCTTTGAAAAAAACGCTCCAGATGGGCTGCGGCCCCATCTCGCCGCAGCGGAATGCACCCAGGCAGGACGAACAGCTCCACTGCCCCGGCTCCGCCTGTGAGACACGGATCGGACAGACGTTCACGTGGCGCCCTCGGCACAAACACGCTGCTGTCCCCAGGAGCAAGCGAGCGGGGACACGCTGCGTGGAGCCTGGGCACGCGGCGATGATCCCGTCCCTCCCGTGAGCAGCACTGTCCATGTGGCCACGTGTGATGGGGGGGCCGGGGGCACAAAACCGCACTCACACCAAACCCACAAGTACGAACAGTGAGATGGACAGAAACACGGAGAGACGGGGAGCACGTCCACAGGACGGACTTCTTTCTAAGTGGACGTTTCTGTTAAGACGTCCGTTAAAAAATCATCCTGGAAACAAAAGCCTGTGGAGGGACAGCGACAAGTCCCTGCTTGAAGTCTCTGGCCGTCCTGTGCTGGTGCATCGCTCGCTCAGAGACCCTGGAGGTGCCCTGAGAGCCAGGTCCCAGCCAGCGGAGCAGCGTCCGGCCTGGGCCTGGGCCTGGAGAGAGGGTGTCGGGACGGGAGGAGGAGCAGCGCACAGTAGGGCAGCACCAGCGGTGTCAGCACCAAGGAGACAGACATTCAGCAGGCGGCACCCATTTGGGATGTGGCCCCCCCAATGGGGGATGTGGCTCCCCCCACCAGGGGCGTGGCTCCCCAGCGCCAGGGCTGCAAGGCTGTGGCTTCAGGCCTCGGGGTTCTCCTCTCACGTGCCCAGCGCCCACCACGTGGAGGCCTGTCCCCGACAGGGGCTCTGGGAGCCCTGGGCCGTGCCCACAGCTGCACACGGTGTTCACAGCAGCTGTGTTCATAGTCGCCAGGACTTGGAAGCCACTGAGACGCCCTTCATCAGGCGACGACAAGCAAACCGGCCCCGCAGACGGCGGAACATGATGCAGCGGGAAAAAGAAATGAGCTGCCCGCCATGAAGAGACACGGAGGAACCTCGGCTGCAGGTGACTAAGTGGCGGAAGCCAGTCTGACAGGCCGCGGGCTGCGGGCTGCGAGGCTGCACCTGTGTGACGCTCTCCAACAGGCAAAATTACAGACCATACACAGATCAGGGCGCACCCTGGCCGCGGCTCCGTTGGTTGGCGCGTCGTCCCAGGCACCAGAAGGTTCCTTCCCGGTCACGGCACACACCGAGGTTGCGGGTTTGATCCCCGTCAGGGGGCGGATAGGAGGCAACCGATCGAAGTCTCTCTCGCACTGATATTTCGCTCTCTCTCCCTTCTTCTAAAAATTAATTAGAAACATACCCTCAGGTGAGGATTTAAAAAGACCAGTGGTTGCCAGGGGCTTGGGGGAGAGAAAGGGTGAGCGAACGGCGCGCAGGGGCCTCGGGAACTGTCCTGGCAGCTGACACCATGAAGCGGTCACAGCCCACAGACACGCACAGCAGGACTGAGCCTCAAGGGGGGCTAAGGCTTCAGCTCATGGTAACGAGTCATCATCTGTAGCAGCTGCACCTCAACACAAACGTTTGTGAGCGGGAGACGGTGGGAGGAGGGGTGATGGGCACGTCCCTGTGCTTTATGCTCCGTTTTCACGCAGACCTGCAACTGCTCTAAAAGGTAAAGACCGTCCGTCTTTTTAAAAGTACCACTGAGCTCTGGCTGGTGTGGCTCAGTGGAGAGAGCGTCACCTGCAGACTGAAGGGTCCCGGGTTCGATTCCGGTCAAGGGCACATGCCTGGGTTGTGGGCTCGATCCCCAGTGTGGGGCGTGCAGGAGGCAGCTGATCCATGATTGTCTCTCATCATTGATGTTTCTCTCTCCCTTCCTCTCTGAAATCTATAAAAATAGATATTTTTCAAAAAGTACCACTTAGGATAAAAAATGAAACAGAGCACAGCATAGGGAATAGAGTCAATAATACTGTCCTCACGGCGTGTGGGGCCGGGGGGGTACTGGAAATATTGGGGGGACCACTCTGAGAAGGACATGACGATCTAACCCCTGCGCTGTGCACCTGAAACAAACACAGCACAAGGCGGAGTGCAAATGGTAACTGAAACTAAAATCTCTAAAAATCGAAGGAGGAGTAAATTAACAACGTGTGTGAAGGACCTACAACCTGAAGACAACAAATGTTTTTCTTTCGTTCACGAAAGCGATCAGAGGCTTCATTAGACAGAGACGCTCCGAGTTCATGGACTGGAGATGCAACGCTGTTGAGCTGTCTGTTCTCCCCACATCGACTCCCATGGTCCATGGAATTCCAGTCAAAATCCCAAGGGGTTCCCGTCACTGCCACCAGGTCTTTCCAGCAGATCCCTGGGAAGGCGCAGGAACTACAGGAGACAAAGCCATTCTGAGCCCGGCCGGCGCGGCTCAGGGTTGAGCGCTGACCTATGAACCAGGGGGTCAGGGTGCGATTCCCGGTCAGGGCACAGGCCCGGGTTGTGGGCTCCATCCCCAGTGGGGGGCGTGCAGGAGGCAGCCGGTCCATGGTTCTCTCTCATCACTGATGCTTCTCTCTCTCTCTTCCTTCCTCTCTCTGAAACCAATAAAAACAAAGTAAGAAAAACAATTTTGAAAAAGAACGAAGTTGAAAGACACAGGGCCTGGGATACTCAGTAAAGGACCAGGCCCGACAGGTGGCCGGTGGCCGGTGGCCAAGGTGCACCCACCTCTGCAGAGAAGCCTGAGATACAACCTTAAGCACAAAGCACAGGCCGTTTGAAAAATACTGACAAACTGGGTCTTGAAAGCACAAACGTTTGCCTGTGGAAGACGTAAAGAGAAGCCACGGACGGGAAGAGGCGCCTGCCAACCGCCTACCTGACAAGGAACGCGCATCCGCCTATGTCAGGGCACATGTTTAAGATGCGGGGAGTCGGCACGCTCCACAGCAAGGAAACGCCCTGGTACAGTGGTCGGCAAACCGCGGCTCGCGAGCCACATGCGGCTCTTTGGCCCCTTGAGTGTGGCTCTTCTACAAAATGCCAGCTCTTCCACAAAATATTGACTTCTGCGCATGGGCCACGAAGTTTCAATCGCACTGTACGTGTGCACCCGCACGTGGTATTTTGTGGAAGAGCCACACTCAAGGGGCCAAAGAGCCGCATGTGGCTCGAGAGCCGTGGTTTGCCGACCACGGCCCTAGTAGAACGGGCAGAAGATGTGAGCAGCCGCTCCGCCGAGGAGGCCGTGCCAAAGGCAGGGGAGCGTATGGAAAGGTGTCCGCCTCGCAGGCGTCAAAAAACGCAAACTAAAAGCACCTGAAACCCCACCACGGCCACACGCTGCCCCACGGCGACCGCGGGGCCGGAGACGGAAGGCAGCGGAGTGCGTCTGTGGGCCATCTTTTCTGTGGCATTAAACTCACTGTGAGGAGGAGGTGGCTCTGTCGTCACACACCCTCCTGGAAGGCCGAGTCCTGCAGAAGCGCCAGAGGACAGGGACTATCTTACCCCTTAGGTCTCCTCCCAGAATCACTGGCCCGAGACGCCGCCCGCACTCACCGAGGCCCGGGCACCG